GTCAATGGTTTTTATGTGTGTAATTTTTTTTTAAAGATTTTATTTATTTATTTGACAGAGAGAGAGAGATCACAAGTAGGCAGAGAGTCAGGCAGAGAGAGAGGGGGAAGCAGGCTCTCCGCTCAGCAGGGATGCTGAGGCAGATGCAGGGCTCGATCCCAGGAACCTGAGATCATGACCTGAGCTGAAGGCAGCGGCTCAATCCACTGAGCCACCCAGGCGCCCCTTATGTGTGTAATTTAAACCATATTTTACTACAACAAGAAAATAAACTATGTAAGACTGTGTAACTGACAAAGCAACACAGAATGCTGGGGCCGGTGACCCAATACTTGACCCCACGACAGCACGTGAGGGCACTAAGGCTTGTTCCCTCTGCAAACACTGCGGAGTTCTCACATGGTTCTATTTTCGAAGACAAAATGTATGGATCCATATCTGTCTCAAAACATTACTAGAGGGGCACCTGGTGGCTCAGTGGGGTAAGCCTCTGCCTTCAGCTCAGGTCATGATCCCAGAGTCTTGGGATCGAGCCTCGCATTGGGCTCTCTGCTCAGCAGGGAGCCTGCTTCCCCCTCACTCTCTCTCTGTGTGCTGCTCTATTTGTGATATCTCTCTCTGTGTCAGATAAATAAATGAAGTCTTTAAAAAAACAATTACTAGAAAACACGTCATTGTTATCTTGAACTGGAATCCCCAGGACTGCCTTGGTGGACACCAGGGATTCTAAATCACCGGCTGGAAAATGGACCTTTCCTGACTCCACAGTTTAATGATCTGGACAATTAGAATATAATACATTCATATCTACCCCTCCTGATACATTTCCCCCACCACTGGTTGCTTGGTCTTCCTCTCCGGCTTGCTAATGCTTCCCACTTTCCTCGGCTGCCGAATCTCATGAAAAAGTACTTTAAATTTGTTACGTCAGTTTTTCTACTCACACAACTTTTCAATCTACCCTAATATAGTTGCTGTACTCTTCTACTAACAATATTTTTGTTACCATAACTGGTGCTATCTATGTCACTAAGTCCAGTGGACACTTTCGGTCTCTTAATCACTCAGTAGCATCTGGTTGGTCCCCTCCTCTTTCCTGAAGCACATACAACAACAAGCTCTTCTGGTTTCCATTTATTTCCCAGGTTACTTGTCTTAATGTCTGTTTCCAACCTCTACCTTATCTTTAAAAGGCTTGATGTTCCTGGGGTGCCTGTTTGGCATAGTCGGTCAGGTGTCCAACTCTTGGTTTTGGCTCAGGTTATGATCTCAAGGTTGTGAGATCGAACCCTGTGTCGGGCTCCAAGCTGAGCATGGAGTCTGCTTCAGACTCCCTCTCTCTCCCTTTGCTGCCCACGTACTCTCTCTCTCAAATAAATATTTTCAAAAATGTTGATGTTCTTCCAATGTTGAAGCTCTTTTCCCTTCTTACTGTACTTTTCCTCTAAGTGATCTACCTCACTTACTCACAAGGATTCAAATATCCTCCTTAGGCCCCTGGAGATTTCTATCTCCAGCCCAGACCTGTCTCCCGAGCAGAGTCCCTATGTCCCCCACCCCCCCGCCGGCTCCCGGCTTATTTGACATTTCCATTTGTATGAAGCATTGGCACGTTAAATTCAACAGGGCGGAGCTGAATGCTTGGTCTCATCCCAAGCCCAAGACATTTCACCCACAAACCTGCTCCTTTTTGGACACTCTAGCTCTCTAAGTGGTATCACTCTGTCCCCATTTCTTGAGCCAGAAATATGGGTTTTATCCTTGACATGCTCCCCTACCCAAGAAAGCCAATCAATTACTAAGTCCTACTGATTTTGCCTCCTACATATTTCCCCAATCTGTTTACTATCATCGTTATCATCATGTCGAGTCCAAGCCATCACCATCACTTGACTAACTCCTCCAGAAGCTCCCAGTGGAGCTCATGCCAACACCGTGGCTCTGCTCTAACATGTAATCTGCTCTGGAACTGGAATGCTACTTTTTTTAAAGATTTATTTATTTATTTGAGTGAGAGAGAGCGCGCGCGAGTGAGCATGAGCGGGACGGGTATAGGGACAGGGAGAAAGAATCTCTAGCAGGTGCTGTGCTGAGTGTGGAGCCTGACAAGGGACTTGATCCCATGACCATGAGATGACGACCTGAGCTGAAACCAAGAGTCAGATGCCTAACCCGCTGTGCCACACAGGTGCCCCTGCAATGCTATTTTTAAAATGCAAATTTGATCACCTCATTCTCCAAAAAATTATCTTTAAGTTACTTCTTCTCTTTAGTAAAAGGAAAAAGTAAAAGGTCTGTAATAAAAACTTTAAGGCCCTGCCCTTAGGTCTCGCCCTCACCTACCTCTCCAGCCTCATCATGTGTCATTCTTTCCCCTATTCTTTATGCTTCTCTCCTTCCTCAAAAGTCCTACCGCAGGATCTTCAATTTTACAGTCTTCTTTTCTCTTGAACAGGCACTGGCAAACTCATATAGGAGTAGGCCAGACAGTAAATATTTCAGGCTTCAGGGGCCAACAGGTCACAGCCTCTGACTCAAGCACAAGAGAAGCCACAGACAGTATGTGGACAATGAGCACAACTGCCTTCTTGAGCCACGCAGTGTGGCCTGAGGGCTGGGGCACCGTCTGCCAGCTCCGGCTCTAGAAGGCTGGCCATCCCTATCCTGACGCTTACAGATTCATCTCAACCATCACTTCTGCCACTGAAACTTCTCCTGAGCAGGTAAGTCCCCTTATTAAAGGTGCTTTTACCACAAAGTATATGTCTCTTTCATAGAACCAATTGTTGCTGTAATTAACTAGAAATTTATAATATTATTTCCTCTATATTCATCTTCCCTATTAGGCTGTAAATTTCATGACAAGCGGGGACTGTATTTACTTTGTTATTTTATTCCCAGCATGTGGTGGAGAACATGGCACACGGTAGCAATCGGTAAGTCTATCTGCTGAATGAATGAATGATTAATTTGCTGCTTGGCCTTCAGTCAGCAACTATAGCTTTCTGAGCCTGTTATCCATCTGGAAATGGATGATAGTAACAGCTACTTTCCCATTTGTTTCAAGGTAAGATAACACGGCTGAGTGCGGTTTGTGAACTCTAATACAAATTTAAGAAAAAAAAATTAGCAAAATGTCCTGGTTGCCCAGTATGGGATAAACTGCAGCCCAAACCAGGCCAAATTCTCTGGCTTTGTTTTGTTGGCCCTCTAGTCATGGATGGTTTTGCTTTCTTAAAAGACAGTCAAATAAAAAAAGAAAACAAAGAAGTCCTTGTGACAGAAACCACATGTGGCCCACAAAACCCAAAATATTTTAGTCTGGCCTAGAACAGTGTCTGAATCTAAGTACATATTTTTTTAAAAAACATTTTATTTATTTATTTGACAGAGATCACAAGTAGGCAGAGAGACAGGCGGCGGGGAGGTAGGCAGGCTCCCCACTGAGCAAAGAGCCTAATGCGGGGCTCAACCCAGGACCCCAGAATCATGACCTGAGCCCAAGGCAGAGGCTTTAACCCACTGAGCCACCCAGGTGCCCCTCTAAGTAAATATTTTAACAAGTAAATAAATGAATGATTAATACCTCCCAAATCCACCCACATTTTAATGTTTTGGTGACTGAAAAGCAGTGCCATTTTCCAACTGCCTTTCTTCCCTTCCTTTCCCTTTGAGCAAGTGATCAAAGTTATAACGTATTTACCCCCTCCCCAAGGAATCTATGTTGACTTTAAATATATTTTTTTAAAAAAGGAGTCTATAAGAATTTTCATTTTCCTCTCAATTATGTCAACAATTGCTTTTGAAACAGAGAAGCGCGGGGTGTCTGGGGAACAGATAGGAACAGGGGGCTGGAGGCCCAGAAAACCCCTTCAAGCTCACCCATGGTGCTATGCACGTGATCACCATGTGGAGTCCAAACCTATAGCAATCCATTCACTGTATGGTGTAAATACTGATGTTTCTTTCCCCCCGGGGAATCCATCATTATATAGAAATTTTAAATGACACATTTATAGGCAATGACAAGGGGCTGGGTTTATTACAAAGAACTGCACTAAAAAGGAAAGGAATTTGGAGTCAAAGCATCAAGATTCAAGTTTGAACTCTACCCCCTCCTTAACCCGTCCCTTTGAGCAAATCCATTAGTCTCTCTGAGCTTGCGTTTCCTCGCCTGGAAAGAGAGCGAATATCATTGGTGCCATTTAGTAGGTGACTAGTAGGAGCCAGGTGCTTAACACACATTTGACCTTGTGTCAAACTGCAAAGTGGCCATTATTAGTCCTAACACATAGATGAAGAAACTGATGCTCAGGAAGGTCGCATGACTTGCTCCAAGGGACACCACTAGGAAGAACCAAAAGGTTTTGGAGTCAAATTCTGTCTCAAGCAACACCATCAGTGCATATCTGATAAAGATATTTAACCTTTGGGCGCCTGGGTGGGTCAGTCGGTTAAGCATTTGACTCTTAGTTTCGGTCAGGTCATGATCTCATGAGTCATGGAATCCTGTCCCACATCGGGCTCTGTGCTCCGCAGGGAGTCCCCTTAGGGATTCTCTCTCCCTGTCCTCACTCAAGCATGCACTCCCTCTCTCTCAAGTAAAGGAATAAATATATTTTTTAAAAAAGATATTTAATCTTCTTAGACCTTTTTTTATGTTTTATCTTACAAAAAACACATTAAACCTAATTTCTATGAAAGTCCTCCATATTACATTACCGACTTACACCTTAAAGGTAGATGATTTTCCTACAATGCTCTCTGTTACATCTAAGTCGGAGTCTAGAGAATAGTAAAGAGGGATATGCTCTCCCTTTGTGTATTATAAGAAGTGACAAAAGCACAAAACTCAAGAGCTCAAGAGTATTAGATTTTGAGCACATCCCTCACGTGCCACAGTGGCCATGAATTCCATTATTGTACATCAATTCCATTCTGCTTTTGAACCAAACACCTTCAGTATACGGCATGTCAGTTGATTACTAAAGCTGAATTACCTTTCCTTCATTATCTCATGTAGTCTCCCGTGTTGGACACACTGTTCCTCCAACTCATCATTTCTCCTCTGTAACTTTTCCAGTTTGTCGTATGTATACATTTTCTCTTGATTGAGCTGAGCGATTTCAGATCTAGAGTAGTGAAAACACAGAAGTGACAGACGTTAAAGGTTCTTATCACCAGAGCACACTTTTACTACATAAACTTAGCATTATCTTAAACCCCATACTTAAAAATAACAGTGTAAATAAAAGTTATGTTATGTAAATTGAAATATTTCAGACATTGCACAATGTCTAGTGGAGGGATATATGCATTGCAGGGACTCAAGTGGTAGACAGAGTCTACGCGGAGAAAGGAAGAGTGACTTACTCTGAAAGAGATGACTTCTTCCAGGAATGACACAAAAATAATAAGGATTCATACTCATATCCCAAATTTACTGAGTGCCTATTACAGGCCAGCCAACACGCTGTTAAAGGAGCAACCCCAGGCCTAATCTCTATGACAGAGCATTGTTTCTTTTAATTAACATAGCTAATGTAATGGCACATGATTAAAATCATATGGTTCCAAAAGGCATAATAATGAAAAATGGCATTCCTCTACCCGCCCTCCCACCCCATCTCCAGCTTGTCAATGTGAATTACTACTATTCCAGTGTGTAGTTAAAGCAATAGGCATATGTATGTCATGTGACCACCTAAATATTGGTCCTTGCTGTCTCAGTAGCTTATCACGATCACATGCACGCTGGTATGATGAGGGCTTGGGTGTGGAGTGATGGAACGTCAAGCCATCTTTTCCAGTGGGAGATTTCTAATATCCATGTCTGTCATTCTTCCCTCTGTGGCCATTCTGCTTCTCAAGAGAATTCTCCAGCTGCCTGCTCGCTGCGTCTGACCCTAACCCCCAGTGGTTAAGGAGCCAGTGGGAAATAGACAGGTGGAGATCTCATCTTTCCGAATGCAGACTTCCTATTACTTTCCCTCTGCTACGCTGGGTGCCCCTATTCTAACCAGAGCCTGCTAGTTCAGTGTCTTCAGAGCGGAAGTCCCTGATCTGCTGGGTGGAAGAGGGCCAGCCACTGGCTGTGTGGAGCAGGGGCGGAACCAGCAACTGTGGTTTCAGTCCTATGTTCCACCACTTCTGTCTTCCAAGTTCTTCTGGCATCCCAAGGGCAGATGAGCTTGCTTCCCAGGCGAATGACCCCTCTGGGGACCCAAATGGTTCACTTTCCCCCACTTTGCCACCACAGGTACTTTTTACCCAATCTTCTTCCTGCCTTCACACATTTCATGTGGGATCACAGGTACTTTGGGGACGACTTATGTCCCTCAGGAAATATGCCACCTCTTCAGAATCTTGGAGGATCACCTCAAGTCTCACGATCTGGAGATCAGAAACCTATCTGAGGAAAACCCTATCACCATCCTCGCTTTTCGCTCAACATGGATCCGTGGCCGTGACATGTGGCCGTCATCTCCTCATGCACCACTGCCCCACAGGCACCCAAAGTTCAAAGCTCTTGCATAAGAAAATGCGAGCAGTTAAGGACCAGTTTGTCTCTTGAAGGTTAAGTGGGACCCCTGATGCAGAATTATGTCCCTCCAAAGAAAGGATTTTTCCATGAGGTGGGAGTGTCTTTTCTTCCTGGTCAGGGAGACACGTGGATTTGCTTGAGGAACTCATCCCCAAGGGCCAACTGGCATCACTGTACAAAGCAATTTCTCGCTTTCCCTTCTCCTCATCCTTCATTTTGTTTTCATCCTGGTTCCAGTGTCACCTCAAAGGAAACTTGCCCCGATTAATACTTTGCAGTTCTCAATATGTCAGCGCATTTTTTGGAAACTACCCCCAGCTTTTCTGCATATATTAGCTTATAATTTATTCCTCTGAACTGTGGCTCAATGCCTCATCTTTCTTACTAGATTATCCATGAGGTCAGGTATTATCTCGTTCAAGCTCAGATCAAGCACTCAGTCTACATTTGCTTCTCCTAATAAGAATTCACTTATATTTGAAATAGTCTAAATCAGTTAATAATGATTTATGTTTCTCGTTTCAAAATCACATACAATATCCAAGAACTTAAGGCAGTTATAAAAAATTGTTAATTGAGTGTTCTTCTGAGAATAGTATCTCCTATCACAACATGCAAAAAAACATTCCAAAAAGACAACAAAATATCCTTAAACCAGATTAGGAAAACAGGCAGAAGAGTATTTATCTGTTCTCAGGTACTTCCCCAGAAAAAAAAAGTTGCTTTTTAAAACAGCATTCACAAGGGAAACAGATTTTTATAATATAAAAATGTGAAACTTTTACACATAAAAAGTCGTAACGTTCGCAGTAGCATTCTTTCTAGAAGCAACCTTGCTCTGCAAACTGATATCTGGAAACTGAATCCAGAAATGTGTCAACAGGAGATTGGCTGCATTACTTACACAAAGGGATATCAAGAGGCTCTTCTGACAGTGAGGGCTATCTGGTGGTGGTGGTAATTACTGATAAAATATGATATATTGGTAAGAAAGGAAAATATTTGAAAATCAGCATATATAAAGTGATACCATTTTATAATTAAAAAAATACTCTTTCCTCTCCCCCCTTAAAAATATGTGGAGGTATATATTACATATTAATATGTATTATCTTGAGGTATTAGAATTAGGAATTTTTAAAAAATATATTTTCCTTTTCCATATTTTTTGGGCACATATCTAAGACAAAAAATAAAGTGACTTTAACTGAATCCACTGTGGTCATCATGTCACAATACCTGTAAATCACACCATCATGCTGTACTTAATAAACTCAGACAGTGATGTATGTCAATAACTTCTCAATACACCCGGAAAAAAAATTTTGAAAGTCGTTTTGATCTTGAAAAACCTCCGTGAAAAACAAAAGGCACTGGGAACACAATTTTCAAAATTAAAAAAAGAACTGGGAACACGGAAAAAAATGAGACACATGAAGATAAGAAGCATCATTTAATAAAGTGTTATCCCAGTCTCCATCAAAATTCCAACGAATTTTAAGAGGAATATGAAAAATATTCACAGAGGAAGAAATAGAAAAGGTCAATCAACATTTATAAAATTCTCAACTTCTACTATTGTTCAAAATGTGCATAACAAAGCCAGATTCCAGTTGAATATTTGTTTAGTGCATGCGTGCCTACTCTGTCAGACAGTGGAATCCATCCTTTATATTAATGATCGCAATTAATTCTTCAAGGTCAGTGTTTATTTCCTTTTCACTGTGAGGCAAATAGAAGGTTTAATGACTTGCCTGAGGTCACCCAAAGGGTGATTAGCCCAGTCCAGATACAAACATTGGCCTGCCCAGCTCTAAAGGGGTTGTCCCAACTGCTGTGCTATACTGCCTCTCACGTTTTCTTTTGTAAATCTCACCTCTTTGTGTCACATACTGCATGGGTACATGTATACCGAGAATCTAGTATAGTACTTGAGCAAAATCATCCACAACAATAGCCTTAAAAAGGCTCATTATTATTGAAACAGAAAAAAGACAGGTCAGAGTCTCTGGACCCACAATCCCCTTTTAGGCATCTCAGCTAAGGGAATCATCAAAAATTCAGAGTAATGGACAAAATTATTATTGTATTATTCATAAATATTATTGTATTATTCAATACAATTATTATTGTATGGAAAAACTGGGAATATCTTAAATGTCTAATGAATTATTATGCATACAAATGATTCAATTAAAATGGTTTCCAGAGTAGTGAATGTAGATAAAGATTCACCAGATAACAATAAGTGAAAAGCAGGATACCATCAGGTGCATGTATGTGTACATACATACGTTCACACTTACATCCGCACGCAAACTCAGTGCAAGGAGATACCTCACAGATGAAGAATACTTCGCTAGGTGGTAATGTCATAGGAAATTTTTTTCTTAATTTTTCTTTGTAGTTATAGCCAAATGCCCTACATTGGGGATGACTTACATGACCACAAAAAGATAAATGTAAAGTGCACAGTATTATCAAGTATTTCATGGCTGATTTTTTTTGTTTGTTTTGCATATTTTGGGGTTTTTATTTCCCTTTGTTTATAATGGTAATTTGCCTTCCAACTTGCAGTGTTGGATAAAAATTTGGCAAATGTCCATGGACATCATCATTTGTCTGTCTAGGGCCCGGGATATATTGAAAGAACTAGTAGTTTGCAAAGTTCAGAGAGTAAACTTCAGCACAAGCCTCTGTGTTGGTTCCAGATTACATCTGTGGCACGATTATCTCAGTGTCATATAAAAGAGTAACTGTCTCTAATCCATTTTTATAGAAAATGTAGGTAATTTCTGACTTCACAGAAGCATGAACTTCTCCCTGCATTTTTATATACCCGTTACACCGTGTGATGGCACTTGCACCAAGTATAATATTTTACTACTACAATTAGGATTACAGAGATAATTGCTTTTTTAAGGGAAAACCTAACCCCTTACTTTTTTATTCTTTTAGATTCTCACTTGGTTTTTGGTGACAATTAGCAGAGGCCAGTACGAGTCTCTCCTTGTAGAATATAATTTTTGTAGCATCCCAACCTAACATCGTCTAAACATGCGGGGGGAAAAAAATAGTTCAGCCGGGTGTGTGTTCTTTACTTCAATTAAACTCACACAGTTGGATACTGACTGTTGCCAAAACAGTAATATAATTTATACATTATAGTCCACACAGTAAAACTACACTAAAAGTCATTTAACAATATTTATAACACCATAAAATACAGTGTTAAAATATATGAACTGCAATATGTACCAAAATTATAAAATTTGTTTCTCATCATCAGTGATTAAAACCAGGATCATTGCTCTAGCCTCAATACCCACAACCCTGGTGACAGATTAGAATTCAAATCTTAATGATCAATTTACAATTAACAAGATAGAAGTGAACCAAATTAAACCAACCATTATATATAACGAGACCCAATGGACTCCCATTGTTCCTCTGAATTACAAAACGCGAATCACAGATACACAAGGGGCAGTGTTAGACATCCATCCGCAAGCCTAGCAACCCAGAAAGTGACAGTGACAGGAAAAGAAAGAAGAGACGCAAACCACCCCGTAGTCCGGGGTTCTGTCCTCCCTTGCTGGCCTGTCTCTCCAATATCGGAGTGCGGAGGGGCTGCAACCCGGCCCAGGCTTGATTGCCCCCCCTGCAGCGGGCAGAGACTCTCTCCTCCCCACGCCCATCACTTCTCAGCTCTTCCCAGGCCGAGGTCTCAGCCCTGCAAACTGCACTGCAAACATTTTACTGCTGATTCATCCAAGCGCCTGCGGAGAGGGAACACTTCCCTCACTTTGATAAACAGGAATCACAGTTGCACCAAAGATATTTCAATAGCTCCACTTACCACCCTCAAAAACAACCCCAGGACTGTAATAAGCTCCCGGGGTCCCGGGGAATAAAGACGAAAGGGTAGCTAAAGTTTATGAGAGCGTCAACTACAATCAGCCAGCGTGTCTGCCTGGTGCCAATTAAAAGCAAAATGGAATTAATTGTCCCGTCTTGTGGTCAGAAACCAGCTCTAGCAAATGCACAGAATCGGCAGTTCATTTTCAGTTCGAAATTGGGCCATGCCATTCACGAACCCTGGAGTTACAGATACCACCCAAGCCGTGTGGAATGCGCCGGGCAGAGAGTACCAGGCTGATCACTGGGGAGGGCTTGCAGACAACGGGAGCTCAAGGCGCTGCCGTAATACCACGCACATTACTTGGGGAGAAAACATGTATGACGGGCGCACCCGGAGGGACCGTTTCTAAACCCCTGCACAGGGCAGCCTGAGGCTGGGGTAACGAGTCAGAGCTTCCGCACAGTGAGCCCAGACTGTCAGCGTTCCTAGGGACAGCGTGGGCTCTGGTCAAATGGCCAGATCTGCGAGTGAAAGAATAAAGCTTATTATAAACGGTGTGAGCCATTCGGTTAGTCCGGGACTTATAAATAATGGAGAAGTCCTCGAGAAACGTCCGGAGTAAGGAAAGGGGAGCCGCAAAAATTGTTCTTGATTGTTGAGTAAAACAAAACAAATGCACTCACTTTGAAGAAAAATTTTACTGTAGTATTCTGAGGGAAAGCTGGCTTGAAATTACCGTGAGGTTTCATTATTGTGGACACTGAACTTCCACAAGGATAACACTTCAGGAAACTCAAGAATCTCCAAGATTTTCCTCACCTCAAAGCACAGGAAAAAATCATTTATCCCCAAAGTTTAGTACAGGGTGTACAGAAGGCTTCTAGAAGGCTTCACAAATTTATACTCTTTATTTAAAAAGAAACATTCAGGGCCCTTCAAGTTATACAGGTGAATTCAAAGCAAAAGGTAATGTCAAAATCAAATGACACATTTTGTACGAAGTTTGAAAATGTCATCCTTTTCGTAGAGGGAGCCAGAGGGAAAAGAGACTCTGTGGACAAGAAATTAAGAGTCAACAAACGACCAATCTTAAAATCAGTTTATCATATCTACCACAGTCTCGTGAGACACACAAAATGAGTATTTTATAAACTTCGGGGGCTCTTAAAAGTTTTAACCATAATAACAATTTTTTGAGTGTTTACAAGGGCTAGGCCTGCCCTTGTTTTGGATTAACTTGCAAAGAAGCAGTAGATTTCTATTTTAATTCTTCAGATTTACGAAACAGGCCATCCCAGAGCAGGACTCCAAACACAACTGGACCCACAGTTTCCCGATTCTGCTTTGCCTTTAAAAAGGCTTTCCTTGTGATATAGACTTAATGTCTGTCAGAATGGCACTCAGACCCTCCGTGGAAAAGACAATAATAGCTGGTCAAAGTCAAATCCAAACTGGCCCATTCAAGACCCTGAAAACCGTGCCATCTGCTGTGGTTCTGCTCCTGTGTGTCAAGACCTGTGCAAGGCGCCTTCCATTTGTGCGTATGCATATGTGTGCACCTGTATATCTCTCAGTATTTCTCATCCCCACAACAATCCTGCAACACGGTTTTAGAAATGTCTTAGGGGCGCCTGGGTGGCTCAGTCAGTTAAGCATCCGACTCCTGGTTTCGGCTCAGGTCATGATCTCAGGGTTAGGCTCCACACTGAGTGTGGAGCCTGCTTGAGATTCTCCCCCTCTCTCTGCCCCTCGTCCCCCCAACCTTCATGTTCTCTCTAAATAATAAATAAAAATAAATTTCAAAAAAATATATATCTTAGGGATGGAGAAGTTGAGGTTTGGAGAGATTCGGCATGGTACCCAAGGTCATGCAGCCCGGTGGCAGAGTGAGATTTGAACTGAGTTCTTTCTGGATTCCAAAGTGGTTTTCACTGCACCCTGCCTGTCATCAATGCAGGAACAGGTTGGGACCAGAGCCAGGTCAGGATACAAGAGATAAAACCAAACTTGTTTCATTCACTTAGTAAGTACATACTGTGTGCCGGGTACGCATCAGACAGAAGCACGCTCCGTCGGCAAAGCGCTGGTCAGGAACTGGAGGAATCTGAAGCAAGGGGAGGGGGCTCGGGGCTGAGGCTCAGTCTCACTAGATCAGTCCAGGATAAATGGACAGATCTAGAGCAGAAGAAAGAGGGCCCAGGACGCAGGGTATAGGCGGACCCAGGCTCCCAGGCTTACCCTCACATGACGAGCATGCCTACTTCCCCATGGGAATATAAAGAATATTTTTTCTTTTCCAGACTTTCTCATCATAGCTGCTTCAGCCTGGATTTTCTTTGGTAATAGATGTAAAATTCTTACTTCTTACTCTTCTTACAAGAAAGATCATAGGGCTTGGAACTAGAAATATCTATAGTAGAACTCTAGCTCTCCCACTTCCCAGCCATTTAAACACTGTCAGTATTGGTTCCCTCACATGTAAAAGAAGATAATAATTCCTGTCTCAAGTTGTAAGAATTAAATAATATATATTGAGCATATAGTACACCTCCTTCTCCTTTACAAGCTGCCATTTCCGGAATTATGTCTTCTTAGAGAGTAAGATAATTAATAGTCAATCACAAAGCGATCTTAAGATGACACTCTTTTGAGTCCCAGATCAAAGCAGTTTTTTCTTAAATTGTAATGGTCCAGGTTTTTTTTGTTTGTTAGTTTCTAATGAATTACTTAGATTTGAGCTTATGTGAGGCAAATCAAATATTTCTAGTTAGCAGCAACTACTGGTGGTATATTATGAAGGGCTCTCCTATGACAAAATCATTTGGGTTTCCTTGTTAAACTTCTTGAAGATATCTGGTATTTTGGCACCCTGAGCTTTTCTCTACCCAAATAAGACCTTTAATTAGTATTTGCTACGAAGGTGGACATGTCAGAGCACATTCTGGGAGCTTTATAGGAGCCTCTGCTTTCCTGTGAGCAAAAAGAACTGGATTCATCATCCCTGTGATTCCCCAAAGGATTCAGGGATGGGGAGTCCAACAGCTAAGCCACTCATTGATGCAGGAACCCAAGACAGAGCTCAGGGTGATCGGATATGCTCTGATTCTCTAGGAAATTCTTTCTGAACGGGATACCTGAGGCAGAAGTTTGTTTGCTGAGCCCTACTGCTTGCTCTGTGTAGATCAAAGTGAACTTCAGAAAAATACAGAAGAGATCTATAGGTTAGTTTTCCATTGGGTTGTATTTTAATGGGACATCTGATATCTGGTTTGTTTACGTGAGTGACACCTTTTATAGTTCAATTTGAAGCGATTCTGTCCAATACCATTCATTTACAAGAGGAAATCACAGTTGAAGCAGGTCACGTAAATTTGTCTGAGATTACACAGTTACTCTCAGAGCTGAGATGAGAACTCAGGCTTCTTATCACTTAGAATATAAAATCATTCATTCATGGAAATAACCTGAGTAGGAAATGTGCAGAAAGTAATTCACAAAGATCCCAATCGATGTATTTTAAAAAAGAACAGTGTACCTACAAAATGAATGACAATTGTTCTAATAAAATGAATAAATTTTAGGAGAATGGAAGGATGGTTTGGTTTTATTTACTGTCTATGTGGATACTTTAGAAATGTGTGTATTAAGAAATTGTCCATTCAGAGGAAATATTTTCACAGGAAATACATCAACACATATCTAATGTTGCCATCAGCCTCAAATAGTGGAAATGCTGTTTTTTTAAGAAAAAAATGACAGTATTCACACAAACAGTGCTCAGTATTGTATAAGTATTGTATAATATTACCCACCTGCTTTTTGTAGAGATTTGCTCCAGTTTCTTGGCTAATGTACAGCACTCTTCCTTTAACTTTATCAAAAATGTATTCTGGGAGGTCAGCAATGAATACTGTTCATTTTCTAGAAATAACAATAAACCCCCCACCAATATAAGATGTTTATGGTTGTAACTCTGGAAGGCTTCCATATGTAGACCAGTCAAAGTTCTAAGACCACTACCTATTTCCTATAAGCCACTAGGTCAATTTCAGTGTCCTCAAAGTCAAGGACCACTCACCTGGCAAGACACTGAATTTGGGAGGCATTAATTTTTCTAATAATTACACCCAGGAAACAGTTTGAATCATACCAGCTTGGGGGAACATTTCAATGTGTCGATAAAGTGTCAGATTATGTCAAGTGGAGCCGTGGATGCTTATGTCTTTGTAATATGCACGATATTGTATTTTTATTTTGACAATTTCACTATAAACAGTGTCAAGAATGATCACAACTAGATAATTCGCAACTTTAAAATAACAGAGGAACTCTCTTCTATACTGTAATTCTTGCTTTATGTCTTGTATTTGCCCACATATATCTCACTCTCCCCAGCTCTTGTATATGCTTCTTTCGTTATGAAAGTAAAATAACAAAATTTTCCCTAGAAGTTGGATTTCATTGTCAACAGTACGAGTATCACTGAAGATGTGGTCAAGGAATTGAAGAGAGCGTGGGATTTTTGTGCAAAATAAAAGGAGTGTTCTTAAGGTGGTCTTAGCCGTTAAATCCTCTCACGTAGCACTTAGAGATTCTGCCCAAGACTCCTGATCACTAGAATCCTGCAAGCAGGAGGGGCAAACACTAATTTTTCCTGGAATTTCCTCCTCTTCCTTTTAGTGGAAAAACACCTCCCGAGTCTGGGAAAATGCGGGAGGGTATCATGTGGGTCAATATGACATTTGCCTCTTTATGAGCAAATGGATGACTTAACGGAGGTTACTACCATTTCTCACCTATAGGATGAGCACTCCCTTTTTTATCCTGTCATCAAAAACAGCGTGCACGAGATCATGTGAAAATTATCTTTACGTGTCAGGCTTTCTTTCCGATTTCAGCCACTGACTGGCAAAAAGCATAGAGCCTACAAAGCAAAATACACCAAGGCACTAGAAATTAAGCAACACTTTTCTGGAAGAGGCAGGATCAATTAAACTTTTGTTTTAATAGGACAATCAGCTCAGAGTATGCGGTGTGGAATTATAATGACTGACGCAGTCTTGTTTTGACTCACACTGTCTGTGAACACACAACTCGAGAGTGAAAGGAGCTACAGAACGCTCCAGCTGAACACATCGAACTGCCTGCTTTGAACAAAAGTGCATTTTACTTTCAAATGAAAGGTAAAGAGTTACTGGCCAACTCCGTCTGCGGAATAGCGCCGATGTGATGAAAGATGGCAATTTTTAGCCAAGCTGCCAGCTGTGGTCAATGCCTTGTATTAGTGAATTTTCACAGCGGTTTGAGAACTTGAAGAATGCAAAGGATTAAACATCACTCTAGATTGGGCTGGGGGAGGTGGGGAAATCATACAAATGCTAAAAATGTTCGAAGCTGCAAAGATTAAATAAAGGAACATATCAATTTGGAGCCACTGAATTACATCCAGCTGCGACAGTGAATTAAGAACCGATTAATGGCTAAAGCTTTTCTCCAGTTTGGATGCTGAAGCAAACTCATTAGGCTTTTAGAGGAGCTATAATGTGTGTACTGTGGGAACTGTTCAATGCTATTCAAGAGACTCTCACTGTAAGCTCAGAGCATGTCCCGCAGAGCTTCTGATGCTATTTTTTTATATAACATGTGTGCCTGAAAACCCAGCCAAAAACAAGCCCTTTGTTTTTCTACTTTGTTGTGGTCTCTCTCAGCTTTACGTTTCTTGAACACAGGTAAATAAACTCATAATCCAGATGGTGCAACAGATGTGAGAGCAGCACTCTGAAATCAACAGACAGTGGGCAATACTTTCCATTTTCTCTTTTAAACGCTAACTAATATGTAATTCGGAATCTCCGGTGTAGTTAGCATCTGCTCCCTTCGGCCAGCCAAAGGTTACAGGTGTTCCTGATGTCATTTCACAGTAAGGCGTGGGCCTGGCTTGTGAGCCAGTGCCCAGGCTCTAATCTTTCCTACCACCTACCAGTTCTGTCGTGCTGGGCCTCCATTTGCTGCATCTTCTGTGTCAGCTCCTGCTCTCTTTGCTGGGCCTGAAGGGCTTGGGCCTTTGCTTCGTTGCTGAAGCTCTGCTGAATGCTATCTTTTTCCAGTCTACAAAGCAGAGAGGAGACAGACAGAAATGTAATCTACACACGCACCGAGCCTCACCATTTTCCCTATAGACCACGGAGAGCTGAACGCAGTAAATTGTGAAGCAGAAGATAACAATCTTTGTCAGACCCCCTGTCCCCCCACCCCTCCACCTTCCCAGCTCCCTCTTCCCTCCCACCATCCCCCCACCCACCCCGGCCCCCTGCGGGGAGGAGAGCCAAAGGGCCTTTCATGCTGTGTTTAATACATGCCATAAATCGAAACAGATTCAAGGATACAACTTTAAAAATCGAGAAATCGTGATATCCGAATACTGGTATTTCGTAACCTGAAAACACAAACCTCCTTTTCAGTAAGACTGTCAACATTCTGGGCCACCATTCCGTGTTTTAACTTTTGAACGGTCCATATTTCCTACAGAGCTTGCAGTCCTACGAACGGCATGGCTCAATACACCACAACTTAAATTCTTGAAACTCAGCTTTGTAGACCACCTCTGCTTTTCCTCCCCAAGTTAAAATGAAATCTCAGATAGAATGTAGGGGATCCTATCCAGGATCAGAGAAATGGTTCTGCATTTTTCGTTAAACATTTTCACATACTAGGCCACGTAATGGGAACAGAAATATGACTATGAGAACGAGTAACTTCCCCCAGCACTTCATAATAGACCCCTTTGGTTCACATTGAGGCACGTTTGCAGGATGAGAATATTCCACAGTCCAAGACGATGTGGTCCCCGTGGTGATGGGATGACTGACCCAGTGAGATGGGTCATTCTGCTCCTAAAGTGTTTCCTAAAGACAGAAACTGCCTGAACAATTAGAAGACAGGACCACACCTCTGACAGCGACACTGACCGCCCCCCCACACACATTAGGTTGGTTCCTTATACTCTAAACACAGGTAAGTGAAACAAGGGGAACTGTTAATTAACTGACTTAGTTATTTCTAACTCCTATCTCCTTGTGGGCATTTCTCATCCGTGCTGTTTTAGTTTACTAATTGAGATATTTACTGCCTTGCCTTTGCCAAACTAAAAATAAACAATTCCATAAAGCTATCACTAGTCGTCTACATACCGCTGTGGAGTGTCGATTCACTGGCTTCTAATTATAAAGCAACATAAGGAAAGTCTGTATTGAAACTGGTCAACGCATGCGGTAATGTTGTAGTATAAAAGTTCAGGAGGAATCTATACCCATACCTCACTCAAAAGGACCATCAGGAGTCCACGCTAAATGTGAAATAAGGTCCCTTCTGGTGCATCTAATAACAGCCCCCCCTTGGACCTGCTCCAGGGTCTTCCCCCACACTCAGTTCCAAACCGTATATTGCAACAAACAGATACACTAGGCCACTTTTTGCCTTCCCAGTCACACCATGCGTCTTCTGCCCATGGATCACTGCATATGTCTCTTTGTTTTCCTGGGATGGCTTCCCCCCTGCGTCCTGTTCCTCCCCTGCACCCCCACGCTCACCCCTGTCCCTCTGCTCAGTGAACACTACTCCTTTAAGGTCTGCTCAAAATTCTCCCCTCTCCTTCCATTCTCTCCAAAATTAAGTATTCTTTCCTTGGTGACCTTAATATATGTTGTAAATGAATACGTCCCACTAAGACGGCATTTGTCACACTTGACTTACTGCTTCTTGTCATCTCTGTCTCTCTAAATCCGGAGCCCGGCTCAGGATTGGCACACCAGCAGCGGGCAGTGAATGCTTAATGAATGAATAGATGTTCTTAGACCGTTGCCATTGGGGAAGGGAAGATGCTGTCTTTACCGAGCCTGGAGAATCTGCTCAAGGCTAGAATGAGGAGGCAAAAACTTTGCAGACATGTCAAAGAGAAGAGTGCCTGGAAGAGAGTGGTTCTAGTGGCTTCGCCAGCTGGAGACCGCGCTGAGCAAGGAATCAGCCTAAAAAGAGCACTGTGGACTCTTCCACTGAGGGACCACCCCGAGGTCAGACCCCTGGTTACAGGCAGGGAGATGTGAGGCTCTGAGACCACTAATAACCAGGTAGCTGAACAGTGCACTGCTCAAAACCAGCATCCATTGGAGAGTGAAAAGGGGCGCTACTGCTAATCACACCAGGACAACAGCCATAATCGGGGCCACCCTTTGCAAACCAGGGCTATGGTTCTCTTACATAAAGGGGTTGCCAGTCTCAACATCAATTTTTAGCATGAGAAGTTACCTCATAACTGATATTCTAAATTGACTATGGAAAAAATAACTATCGTTATCATAGTTCTCCTTATAAAATAAGACAATTTAAAAGAATGCATACTGAGTGGGGCACCTGGGTGGCTCAGTGGGTTGAGCCTCTGCCTTCAGCTCGGGTCATGATCGCAGGGTCCTGGGATCGAGCCCCACATCGGGCTCTCTGCTTGGCGGGGAGCCTGCTTCCCCCTCTCTCTCTGTGCCTGCCTCTCTGCCTACTTATGATCTCTGTCTGTCAAATAAATAAATAAAAATCTTAAAAAAAAAAAAAAGAATGCATACTGGGAAGGCTAGATGATCCAGTCATGATCCTGGGGTCCTGAGATGGAGCCCTACGTTGGGCTCCCTGCTCACCAGGAAGCCTGCTTCTCCCTCTCCCTCTGTTCCCCATCCCCCACCCAACTTGTATACAAGCTCTCTCTCAAATACATAAATAAAATCTAAAAAAACCTCAATGCTATACCAACAAATGTTGTATCATACACCGAATTTTGTTTCTTGAGTGCTTCTCCAATTTTTATTCTATTTAAGAAACATGTTGTTTGTAATTTTTAATTGAGGTATAATTGACATATAACATATTAGTCTCAGGTATACAACATAATGGCTCGATATCTGTACATAGTACGAATGATCACCTGTAGTCTAGTTAACATTTTTTTTCACTGCATAAAAACACAGCATAGCTTTACTTTCCTATTTCCTCCCTCCAGCCCCCTTTCCTTCTGTGTTGCCTTCTCCCCTCGCAGGTTCTTTCTGACATAGTAGGCTTTTTATAAAACCTTAGAATGTTAGAACTGAAAGGGAATCTCAAATCTGTTTAATCAAATCCTCTCACATTACAGCTGAAAGAAGACACAGGCTTGAAGGTTGCATTGTAGGTGATGTGAAGGCAGAGGTGGGATTTGAAATATTCTGATTTAGGGAAACCTATTTTATGGTGCTCCAGAGGCAATGCAATGGTGGATTGAAAGAATTAATAAAAACCACTTATGTATCCAAGGGAGGGATTAGAGAAGAACCCAATGCAATTCGTTTAATATTTATCATAACTCTTATTATGTGAAAGGCACTCTGCTAGGCACTGGGTCAAACAGAGATAAATGTGGCAGAACCCTTGTTCCTGACAGGGACTTCAAAATGGCTAAAATTGGAAGCAGAAGGTGGAACACACCAAAAGAAATCTACAAGGGGGAAAGCTACCGAAGCAAAGAAAATGAGAGGTCAGTGCCAGCTGGGTGGGAGAGCGAAAGGAAGGGTGGCTGTACTGGTCTCCCCCAACTGGAGGAGGGTTTTTTTCAGCTCTCACTCAGAACACTGACGATCTCGCTTAATCAAACTTGTAGTTAGCCGTCTTTCATCAACTGGAATAAAAGCGATGGCAGTAAGGAAGAATTTCTTGGTTGTGGTTAAAACAAGGCTGAAAGATTTAGCCATAATAGCTAAAAGCTGGAAACAATCTAAATGCCCACTAACCACTAGCTGGTTAAACTGGTGGTATCCCCTTGTGGGGCTACTGGGACTTGTAGGAATAAAATGGAACAGCTACTGTAAGTAGCACACATGGGTGGGCCTCAAAGGCACGATGCTCCGTTAAAGAAGCCAGACCTGAAAACATATTGTATGATTTCATTTACATGACATTCTAGAAAAGTAAACACTAGAGACATAGGACCTAAGAACAGGGTGTGTGTGTGAGGGAACGAAGGGGCATGAGGGACATTTGGGGTTGACAGAAGTGTTCTGTGTCAGGATTATGATGGTTTCACCTCTGTATATATTTGTCAAAATATTTTTTCTTGCACACCTACAACTGGTGATTTTTATTATATTTAAATTTACCTCCATAGAGCTGACTTTAAAAAGGAGCAAAGGCAGTAGAATAGGAACATCTACCGTCTTCTCCAAGTTATTCACCATCACCAGTGGCCATATGTGGGCATGTCCACATTTTCTTGATGACAGTCAATAGTTAAAGGAATTACACAAGCACTGGACAGTCCTCGAACATGGATAAGTACACAGAGAGGTGTTGTCACTCCTTTTTTCCAATGACAGTTTTGGCTCATTATAGTCTCTAAAAATGTCTGCAATGATATTTACCATCCCATTAAGGAAATGGACTGAAGAATTCACTCTATGTTTTTGATCCTCAACTTTTTGTATCATTTATTATTTTAAATCCTGCGATTTTTAAAATGTTCATGTCACAGAGCAAAAATGACTTATTAGATTTTTTTAAGGACATTCTAAATTTTATAGCAACATTAAAGGATTAAAAGTTTCTGATGATCCCGGGCGCCTGGGTGGCTCAGTGGGTTAACCCTCTGCCTTTGGCTCAGGTCATGATCCCAGGGTCCTGGGATCGAGCCCCGCATTGGGCTCTCTGCTCAGCAGGGAGCCTGCTTCCTCCTCTCTCTCTGCCTGCCTCTCTGCCTACTTGTGATCTCTGTCTGTCAAATAAATAAATAAAATCTTTAAAAAAAAAAAAAGCTTCTGATGATCCTAAAGTTCATCGATGATTCTAGGACAGAAATGATGAAGGCTTCAAGTCTAACGCGAGCATGGGGCCTATAGTGGTGGTGATTTGAGGCACCAATCCCATATGCCATGATTCTAGTTACCTTTTGACTAGGGCTGAAGTTGGAGTATTAAACATACAACCCTTTTGGTGAAATGGTGTTTCCCTTCCAAAGTACAATACCCAGAGCTCTGTGACAGTAGAATACTGGTATGACAAAATTATGAGGCATAACATGCTTACCAGCTGAGAGCCAT